TGGGTGGATTTTTCCTCTCGGTTCTGGCTCCCCGCCGCCCCCTGGCTGCTGGCAGCGAGGTCTGCAAACCTCAGTCGCCAGAGGTTGCTTCGGGGTGACTGGGAAGGAAAGACTGACCGTCGGCCCCTAAATCACAGAAACCCACCCGCGGCGGCCTCAGCTACAGGGATTGGTCGCCGCGGCTGACCCCCCTCCTCCGCTTCCCCCACCCCGCAGGCCGGGCCGAGCGAGGCTCGGCACCCTTCAGAGATCACAGCCCCCCCCCTCCCCGGGCCCCGGTCCTTCGCGGGTGTCTCCAAGCTCCCCGCAACCTGGAGGGCGCAGCCCTCGGCGGCGTCTCCAGCTCCAGCGCTGGGGTTGGGGAACGGGGTGTAAAGGGGAAGGCCCTCCTGGGAGCCCCGGGCCACCGGGTTCGCTAAGGCCTTTGGCAGGAAGGGCGACTACCGGTGGTTGCCCGCACCCACCTGTGTGGGCTCCTGGGTGCGGGTGTGAGGGGCGTGCGCACACGGCACAGGAGCTGGGAGCTGGGTGTAGGTTTGAGGTTCAGGAACCCCGGCAGGGGAGCTGAAGGGGCCGCGCGCATGAGCAGCGTGGTGCGTGGGGGCCCTGGGGTCTGTGGTTGGGGGAAGGGGTGGAACTCCAGTCCCGGTGCCTGGGCAGAGGGGCAGCGGGGCTGGCACAAGCCCCCAGCCCTCGGCAGCCTCAGTGCCAGGACACATGTAAGTCTCCTGGGAGGCGCAGGCCTGATGCGCCGAACACCTTAATAGGGTTTATTGCTCCTAAGCGCCCCAGCCCGTATGGAAGGGCTGCCAACCCCCCACCCCCACCCCCCACTCCCTACACTCGTCTCTGTCTGGGAGAAAATTAATCTCCTTTCCTCGATGGACACTGGGAGGAAGGAGCTGGCCTTCCGGATGCCACCTACGATGGACACCACCTTCCTGGGACACCACGTCTCTGCTCCGCCCCCATTTGCAGAGCGGACTGTTACAGCCAGGATGGTCCTGGCCTGAGTGTTGGGTGTGAGACTCGCCAGCGGAAGGGATTTCCGATTTGTTTTCCTAATACCCGGGATCTGTGGCAGCTTTTGGATTGGATGCCACGAATTCCAACTGTTGGAGAAGGGCGCCATCTCCCAGCGCGAGCCGGTACTGCAGGCCCCGCAAGACCCGCCGGCGCGTTTCCCCTCCCCCTCCCCTTCCCCCTTCCGCGCCGGAGGCGGCATCGCCCCGCTCCTGCTGCTCCGCCTCCTTCCCCTCTCAACGGCCATTTAACGCAGATGCAAGGACACGGGCCGCTCGCTCGGCTTCCCCCTGCAGAAAGGGCAGCGACCACTTATTGCGTTGGAACAAATCCAGCCCAATCCCATCTACAAAACCCCGAGGCCGTCCATCTCAGAAACTGCATGCCTACTCCCTGCTAAGTGCAAGGTGGGGTTCCGCGCGCTGCAGACTCCAGGTCAAACACAAGACACTGGGTACCGCGGGCCGTACCCCGGGGACGGAAGCGACGCCAAGGCGACAGTAGCAGAGTCCCCAGCACTTTCCGTGGCCAGGCCCCGTGCGTGAACAAACGCCCTCACAGCCAGTAGAGCACATGCGGAAGAAGCCTCTCCTCGCACACTCTGGTGCCCCGCAGCCTGCGTGGCAGCCCTGCCTCCGCCACTTCCTGGCGGTGAGACCCTGGTCCAGGAAATTAGCCGCTCTGTGCCTGGGTTTCCCCAGCTCTAAAACGGGTTGGATAATAGTAACCTCCCTCTCTCCCTTTCCAGACGATGTCAGGATTGACTGAGTTAGTGCAGGAGCAGGCATGGCCCCCAGTAAAGGCGCCAGGCCTTGTCATCCCCGCTTTGCAGAAGACCGAACATGCTCAGAGACCCTCAGCTGAGTGACTGGTGCTTAAGCCAGTGGCAGAGCAGAAGCTGACGTCCCCAGGGGCCTCTCCACCTCTCTTAAGAGCTGCTTTTGCCTCAAGGCCATGGACGAGAGATGCCATGGGTGTGGACATATGCTCGTGAGGGGAGAGCTGGCCGACCTGAGGCTGCCGGCCAGCTCCACGCTGGGAGGGTGACGCCCCAGACCGCCAGATACGAGGGGAAAGACTCTCCTGGCTTGACCTCACGTCGGTGACGTCCCACAAGGGCTGCCGCTCGGTACTTGGAATTTGAAGAGGGCCAACGTGGCTGTCTTCTTGCTTCTCAGCGGACAGGAAATCCGGTGGCTTGGGACAGTGAGGCCAAGGACCAGCTGGAAGAGTGCCTAGAGGATTGTACCCCTGGCCGGGGCTCCCTCTGGCCCTCTGGGGGCCCGGCAATGAGGGCCGGCATGGGGACCGGAAACCCCCTCATCACATTCCTCCTGGGGCTGCAGAGGGGGCTCTGGTGCCTGCTATAGGCTGGCTGGGGAGCAGCCTTTTAAAGATGTGGCTGTGGGCGGCTCGCTCTGGGCCTGCCAGCTGTGACCCGTGC